GGGCAAGTACATTTGGAGAAAATGTAATTGAAATTTGATTAAATTAAGTTCTGCTTATTAAGAATGTTATATATTTTAGTTTTAGTGATTTTGAAAAGATGTACATGAATTCTTTATTATTCACACAATGGTAATTTTTGCAAGTTAAAATGTCACGTTAATATACTTTATTGCAAAAAATAACTCCTGTGGCACAATATATTTAATAACTTACATAAAAGACACAACTTCACACTATAATTAATACTTTGTCGTTTTCTTGTACCATAAAGAATATTAATTATTATATAATGTTGCATGTACACCTTTTCCGTATTGCACCGAAGTACTTTAATAAATATTAATAGGAGTGGTAACTAAGAATTAGGTGTGTTATCAATGATCACAAACTGTTACTCTAACGGTACTTGATAATTGTACGTGTAAGGATTCGATGTAAATCATCAAATTGCCTGTAATTAATAAGCAGTTTGGATGAAGGTATATTTAAATTTACTAAAATTGTGCATATCATGTGTAAAATTGGGACATTTACTTTCTTATATAATAATCTGAATTTGTAACTGCCACCAAGTTGTAACTTTATTTAATCATTTAAATTAATCAACATGTAACTAATCTTATTGACTTTAAATACTGAAATTGTAGGAATAGATTTCTTATCGCAAAATATGTGCACTATGTTCGACGTTTTGCTTTCGCAGGCATTATTTTTGAGATACAGGCCGTTAAAGTTTAGAAAGAAATAAACAGTTTCATTTGTAACTCGGGGACCTTTAACAGAATTTCATTAAAATTGTAGTAGGTGTAATTGTAGTTGATTGAAAATATTGATAAATACTGCTATGCAAGATCTATAAAACTCGCTTCCATGATATTAAAGTTCCTTTCTGATTGTGATGATCATAACAATGAAATGTTACGGTAAACTAAAATAAAGTAGTTTTCTATAGAAGTAGTATTTTATAAAAAATGTGAGGAAATCACTAACGAATAGGAAACACGAAACATAACTATTTGATAACAATTGCAAATTAAGCAATTTGTTATAACAATAACAGATTTGAAAAATCGTTAAACGATAACTAACAACTACAAAAGGTCTTTGAAATGAAGATGTTCAGTATCAATACATTATCTTTTAATTAAAGTGTTTATACAGGATGTAAGAAATTTCACTGACATTACTTCAGCATGAGATAGAGTAATGCATACCACGTGTGCACGCGGCAGACTTATCCTACGGAAAAATGTAAACAATAATTATTATGAAACATTTAGTAGATTTTCAGACAACTGTATTCCAGGTTTTAAATAAATAAAATAAAATGTATCGATTTTGTAGTACGAAGATAGTGTTGTGCTTAAATTTTAGCTTGAATTTTAGTAATTATGAATCTCTTAAAACAGGAACTTAACTTTTAATCAAATTATGATTTGAATAATATGTAATTAAAGTACCCAAAGATTCACGTCGTGCAAATAATCATACGTATTAAAAACAATTTAGGTACTTACCAAAAATCAAAATTCAGTAATTTTTAAACGCACAAGTACAAAACAAACTACAACATATGCTCAAAATGTCCACCACCATTTGCGATGCACGCACGACACCTTCGAATCCAATTTTCGCGCACTCGCAGGAAAACACCTCAAGAAAAGGACATAGTGGTACGCAAAAAACACTCAGACACAGTCCAATTCCAGATACCAACTGAACTGCGTATTGCTGGACAGCTTAGTACCTCATGTTATCCGCTGTGCCGTTGTCACATTGCTCGATATGAATTTTATCGAATTTTAAGTTTATTGCAACGCTAATTAGTTTTTAGAGTTAAGTATAAAGAAGTTCAAAAAAGTGATTGTATTTTATGGTAATCTATGTACGCAGTTATGTCAATATTCCTTAATTAATCAAGTTTGGAATTTTGATAATTTTTTTCTTGGGATGGTTGAGTTTAGGACCCATGTCTTATAAGGTGTTTTTGTTTATTTTAATGTATTCTATCGTCTGTTAAAATTAAGGCAGTCAAACTTCTAACACCCTGTAGAATAACATGCAGCAGCATTACTAAGTCTGAGAATATTACAATTGTCCTGAATTATTACGTTAATTCTGGTTGGGTTTGCTTTGGCTTGCTATAAATTTTCCCAAGCAAAATAATCTAAAGGGTTCATGTTTCGTATTCGTTAGTAATTTATTTAAATTATCTATAAAGAACTTCGATAGTTAATATATTTTAGTTCGACAGCATTGCCACACGCAACATGTAGTCTGTAGTACAGGTCATCACAATCGCTTTAATATCCTGTAATCGACGCAAAATATAAAAACTTACAAGGAAATGTTTTCTACAGATTTTGCATAGCATCATTTTTTACTAATATTTTCAAGAAATAACTTCTATGCCATAAGTAAATATCATACAATTACAATTACAATCAAAAGAACTTTTCATTCGTGTATATGCACCAATTTTACTGAAATTGCATTGCTGAGATAGAAAATTTTCATTTAAGTTCTGTTTTCTAAAGCCCTGTGTCCTAAAGCAAAACGTCATAGATAACTACACTAATTTTATATATAGGGTGGCCAAATGAAAACAAAACAGAGCCATTTTCATCAACTGCGTCAAAATTGTAGAAAAACGCTCATACCCTTCGATTTTAGATTACAGGGGGACATCCCTTGCTAGTATTTTTGACTCCGCCACTTTCACCCCCAAGCATCACCCCAAAATATTTAAATGGCATTGGGGGAGTTGAGTAATATTTCTTTTGAAAGCTCTTAACAATTCTCTTTACAACAGACTTTAAATTTTATAATTCCCATCAATACTTTGAAAACGATTTACATTTTAAGATTTGAATTATGTTTAGATGCTTACTTACTACTTAGTTGACTAAATGTTCAAACTGATGACCACCCGCTTCCATACAAGAATAAAGATTTTGTTCGAAACGTTCGCGCACATTCCGAAGCATTTCCAGAGTGATTCGACGGCATTTATCGACGATTCTTTGACGCAAATCTTCCAGCGACGCTGGCTGTATTTTATAGATTTTACTTTTTAGGTATCCCCACAAAAATCAAGGGGCGATAAATCCGGTGATCGTGGATGCCACTGAATGCTGCCTCTTCTCCCAATCCAATTCCGTAGAAAACGTTGGTCCAAATACTGACGGACAATTAACGCATAATGTGGAGGAGTACCGTCCTGTTGAAAAATCAAATGATCTTCGTCATACTCTGGAACATTTTCAATAATATCAGTCAAGGCGGAGTCAATAGCGCCTTCCAGTAATTGCAAATACATTTGGCCAGTCAAATTACCAGGTAGAAAAAAAGGACCCACCAGCCGGTCATCGAAAATTCCAGCCCATACATGCTACGTTCCCTGTCTCTTGAAATTTTTTTACTAACTCTAGAACATACTTCCTCCTGACATATAGATCTTGATGTTGTTCATTAAATAGCTGTACTGTTCTATTCCCACATTTATTGTTCATAAAGTAAAGCGAAATTATATCTATCCTTTCCGCAATGGAATAAACCATAGTGTTTAATTTTCAAAAACACAATTAAATAAACTACCAACCAACGCTTCCAAATAATACTAGAAAATAATTTGGAATCCACTAATTTTTTTTTCATTGTGTGTGTATAGCATTCAATTATGTTTTTTACAATTGTGTTTTTTTTACGAAAGTGATAAAAAATCGCCAAAAGCCAATGTAATACAAGAAATACTAAATTTATACCATTGGCGTACTTAACTCGAATGACTGACATTTTTACCGTTACTAATCGTTTGTACATAAGTTTCAACTTTAAAATCAAAATTCTTAATAGGTATTGGGCGGAATTATAAAATTTAAAGTCTGTTTTAAAGAGAATTGTAAGAGTTTCAAAAGAAATATTACTCAACCCCCAATGCCATTTAAATATTTTGAAATTATGCTTACCCTTGCTTGGGGGTGAAAGTGGCGGAGTCAAAAATATCACCAAAGATCTATCTAAAATCGACGGGTCTGAGCGTTTTTCTACAATCTTGACGCAGTTCCTGAAAATGGCTCTGTTTCGTTTTCATTTGGCCACCCTGTATACTTTTTCTATAGAGACCTAAACATTTTTAATTATATTCTAATTTTTGGTGGAGAAGCAAGGGAAATGTACAAAAAAAATTCCCTTACGAGCCTGCATAAAGTAATTATTATGTAACGCTTTTTACTATCTCATTGGTTATAGTATTTCTTCAATATTGAGTACGGCGTTCGGCATTTTCTTCGTTTGTTTTTTGTATCAGTTCTTTTAATGACTGGGTACGTATATGAGTAACATGTACTTCACTTTACAACACGTTACTGAAATTTAACATATCTATAGGTTACAGGTACAACGAGAAAGTGATATTTCTTTTGTTATTTTTATTTTATTGTTTTTTAGTAAAAGAACCTGAAAGCGACTATACCTTTGCACCTTATGTTTATAAAAGTTTTAACAGTGTATTAAATCGGTAGAATTCTGTATATAAAATATTATTTTACAATAATTATGAAACAATATCGTTTTATATTCATTGAATAATTACAAACGGCATGCCCTAGATACTCTCTGTGACATGAAATGTGAGGAATTCATATTATTGTTGCAAAAAATTGTTCAACTTTGCCAGTCTGAAAGATATTAAAAAGCTACCATATACACATATTAATATATTTCATTTTTAATAGAGCTAAATTATGGTCATATCCAAATGTAACATAAATTACATAACTTAGACAAGTTCTAGCATAAAATATAGTAATCAAATTTATAATCATTCTTTGGAATTTCCAACAGTGATCTCTGACAGGGAAGCGTCATTTAAATTCAACACTGAACAATTTTTATTATTAATTATTTTCAAACATCTGTAATCTTGTTTTAATTTATAAATAACTTTTCCAATATATCAAAGATTTTCTACAACATTAAACATTACTTATTCTTGCAGGTTTGGAAGAAACCGTAGGTTTAGTAAAGGGAATCGGGGGCAAGGTATACGCCTTCAAATGTGATTTAGCCAATAGGGAAGATGTATATAAAATAGCTAAGAAGACCCAAGAAGAAGTGGGAGATGTGAGTTCAAACTATTTTTTGTCATTTTGATTAAGTTTTCATTTAAAGATGGGGACAAAAAATATTAATATAATGTCCCCTCCACCGTAATCTTTGAACTGAAGCGAAACATTTCGTGTTCAAACGTTATTTTATATAACCTTGAAAATAACTCGTATAATTGGATGCAAATCACGTACCTAATTTTAAAAAAATTTAACTAATAAGTGAACCATCTCTTATTATGTTCTGGTAATTGTTGTGAACAATTACGTGTTTGTACGTACTTATTATCTCGATCTGAATTAGCCTGTGAAAAGTCAAAGTTCACTTCCAGAAATAGAACATATTATTTTGCATTGCTTCACAGATTTCATCTAAAAATATTTACAAAGTCTAGAAATATTCTTGATAATCCTACCAGAAAAATTTCAACTAAACATGTTGTTAAACAAGAGTTGTAATTTTAGTAAATAAACACAAAGTCAGTAAATACTGCAATTTGCAATTTTCTGAAGTACCAAGTTTCAAGCTTTTATTATGAATAGTGCTTACTTTGTACCTAACTGATTGTTACATTTTAAGAAAACTAACGCTTACCTTATATTCTTAAATAAAATAAATCTCTTTATTTCAAATTTGTGAACGTAATTTCAAACATTTAGAATGTGGAATCTGCTAGAAAATAACATAACAATGTGCGGATTCAGGATATGAATTTACTCCCCGCAAATTTAGATACCATAAAACAACTTTACTGGTGAAATCCAGGTAGGCTACAAAAGAATTCGTGCTGATGCTAAAAATAGAACTATTACTGAAACAGTCTGCAGCAAACTACAAGTTTTTTAGTTTTTACGGACTGTCTGATACACGTTAAATATTAGAAATAATTATATAAGCATATAGGAAGACAAAAAATAGAAAAATAAAAGATGATTGTAAGAAAAAAGAATGACATTACATATTCATTTACTAAGGGCTTGATTTTATCTTATTAAATAATATCTTTAAAATACAATCTAAGAAATCAAAATTGTCCAATTTACATATTAAGTATGTCTGTTTTTTCGCGTTGACACCCCTTTTAAATATAAGTAGTCTGGCAGAATTAATGAGACAGTTTTTTAAGAAATTGAGTGAAAATAAGTCCAATTTCTCTTACAATGGAAGGGAAGATTGCTGTTGTCAGATATTGCAATTGAACTAAAAATGTCTGATTCGAGTATTGCCCCTTTTTCTTGTACGTGGTGTTAAAGTCAAATTTAATTTTTTGTAATATTTTAATTGTCTCTGTGCTGTATTCACTTCTACAATCGCGAGTTACACTACCCTGTAAAAAAAATATTGAGAGTTTTTTTCTTCCAAATTGAATGAAGAATCGAAAACTGATTTTTATTTTATGAAAAAGCAGTGGCGTACCAATTTTTGCTTTAGAAATATCCAGTAACGTACTAGTACGGACGCCGCTGGCAAAAATAAATAGAATGTTTTTCATTGCAAAACGTGCCCCCTCGATGATAATTAACCTCTTCAAAATTTCATTGAAATATATTTAGCCGTTTGGCAATAATTAATAAATCTGATTTTTTAAAACCAATTTTAAACACTTATTTGTACTTCCTTATTCCTTCCCTACTTCCCATTTCTAGAATATTGTTTATACAGGATGTAAGAAGTTTGACTGCCATTACTTCAGCATGAGATAGAGTAATCATAAATGAACAAAAAAGTTGTCTATTACAGAGGCGTAAAATTAACAGTTTTCAAAATACAACGAGTATTAATATTGGGGAGTTTCATCACAGCGTGACAACAGCGCTTAACCTGCCGATGCACACCACGTGTACACGCGGCAGACTTGTCCTATGAAAAAACTGTAAACAGCTATTATTGTGAAACATTTAGTGAATTTCAAGACAATTGTTTTCTGGTTTTTAAATAAATAAAATAAAATGTATCTATTTTGTAGTACGAAGATAGTGTTGTGCTTAAATTTTAGCTCGAATTTTAGTAATTTTAGTAATCTTCTAAAACAGAAACTTACCTTTTAATCAAATTACGTATTTGAAAAATATGTAATTAAAGTACCCAAAAATTCACGTCGTCCAAATAGTCATACGTATTAAAAATAATTTAGTACTTACCAAAAAGCAAAATTCAATAATTTTTAAACATATAAAACGAACTACAATATATGCTCAAAACTTTTCACCAACACCACCATTTTCGATGCACGCACGACACCTTCAAATCCAATTTTCGAGCACTCGCTGGAAAACACCTCAAGAAAAGGAATTAGTGGTACGCAAAAAACACTCCGACACGGTCGAATCCAGATACCAACTGAATTACGTATTGGTGGTTGGACACCTTAGTACCTGTAAATAAACCGCCGCGCCGTTGTCACATTGCTCGATATGAATTTTATCGAATTTTAAATTTATTACAAGGCTAATTATTTTTTAGAATCAAGCATTTACAAGTTCAAAAAAGTGATTGTATTTTATGGTATTCTATGCACGCGGTTGTGTCAATATTCCTTAATTAATCGAACATTTGTACATCAAGTTGGAGATTTTGCTAATTTTTTTTCTCGGAACTGGTTGAGTTTAGGACCCATGTCATACAAGGTTTATTTGTTCAGTTTAATGCATTCTATGGACTGTTAAAATTAAGACAGTCAAACTTCTAATACCCTGTATAGCAAACTCATATTATTTTTTGAATCTCTATCAGTCCCTGAAGTTTCCGCATTGGAAACAGAACCACCCTGTATATGTGTTTCGTCATTATGTGACAAAAAAATGTCATACTATCCTTTTTCTATGATATTGTTTGATTAATTTAATAAAATAAAATTAATAGAATTACCAAATATCAGCAATAGATTACCAAATATCAGCAATATTTATCAATATTTCATTTTTTTTTGTACAAAGTCCTCTACAAAACATTTTAAATTATAAATAAATTAATGATTTATTAATAATTAAATCGAAAGAAATTGTGCCAATAGAAATAGTATTTATCTCAACCACAAATAAGCCCATAAAACTGATCGACTATGATGTGGTTAATGCTGATTCTTTTCTTATTCTTTTTTTAACAATCTGTTATTCCATTACTTATTTCCAGATAACTATTCTAATCAACAATGCTGGAGTAGCATCAGGGTATCTTTTATTGGACACTCCGGACCATTTGATACAAAGGACTTTTGACGTTAATGTCGTTGCACATTTCTGGGTAAGTGACAAACATACGAAAATGTTAATCCTTATTCATTATTAAACATTTGTTGGAACTATATTAGTATGTCATACTGATGCTACCGAAATATTGGCTAATAACATTTTTTAAAAGATTTTAGATCAAACAGTAAATTAAAATTATATAAAGATGAACTTGGTCTTAAAATATTCATATGTTTTGGACCTTGAAAGTGTAGGTATATACAAAGAAGAGTCCAGCAATTTACACCGAGTAATTTTTTTTCAAAAACGATTTGTTTGTCTGATACAACATTTCTAACATTTAATCGTTATTAGAGAAATAACTCGCCTGTACACCATATGTATAAATCTTACGTATTAAAAAAATTAATTACTTTATAATTTTGTCTTTACGGATCTATTATCACTATTTAATATTTATACGTACATATTAAATAATATAAAGTTTTTTATAAGTACTCCTACCGCTGATAAAGATTTACTTGTCTACTTTTTTTGTAGTATCGTATAAATCAAGTTGTGTCTACAGAAAACAATGAAATGATTCATACAGATGTGCAATTTAACAGAAACGTAATAAATTGTATTTTCCAGAAATGAAAAGAAACTTTTATGTTTGTTTTGACGAATAAAAGTGAAATTATTTTGTAATATAAATAGAGCATTATTTGATTTATCATACGTTTTTAAATAGTCGCTTTAATATATCTAAATATTATTAAATATTAAATTATTTACTATTAATTATAATCTACATACTATTATAATAATCTACCTACTATTACATAATAATATAGAGAGTGTCACCTAACGAATGTTACATACCTTAAGGGTATAATCTAGAACCCAAATGGTGTCGATTTAACCAAACTTGCTTAAAGAAAATGTCGCAAAAAAAGTTATAGGGTATTAAAGTTTATTTTTTATTTATTATTTTCTCCTTAACTCAGAACCCAGTTAACCGATTTGAGCAAAATATTCGGTTGCTTAGTTTCTCTTCATGAAGTATGCAGTGATTATGTTCCTATTAGGTTAAATCATACAGGGCGTTCATTTTATTACAACCCTTTGTGAATATTCTTCTGTAACTTTTTTATACGTTTAAATTTTTACATGCAACTATCAGAAATAAGCAGAGAATTTTATTCTACAAAAAAAATGTGTACCTATCAAAAGTCGAAATTATGCTCGGTTATGAAGATATGTATTACAGAAAATATATATCTAATAGGAACATAATCAGTGGAGAGAAACTAGGTAACAGCAAATACTCAAATCGGTTAACTGGGTTCCGAGTTAAGAAGAAAACAAGAAATAAAAAAGAAACTTTAACACCCTGCAACTTTTTTGCGATATTTTTCGTTTAAGCAAGTTTGATTAAATCGACACCATTTGGGTCCTAGATTATAACCTTGAAGTATGTAAAATTTGTTAGGTGACACCCTGTATAATAATTCTATATAAATTTATTAAAGGTCTTATTTTACTTAATTGGCGAGAAAAAAAATCTTTTTATATTTAATTAATACTTGTCACCTTGAGCATATATGTACATATGTATATATTTTAAATCGCATAAAAGAAGTTAATGGAGGATACAAAACTAGGTTAAATTTTGTATAGTTCGATTCAGTTTACAATTTATTTACCAAATTTTAACTATTTTTGAATTATAAACCAATACCTTGTTTGTTTCCCATTCGCAGAATCGTATTGTAACTATTTGATCATTTCAAGGGTCAATTTTTGGAAAACCAAAGCCCGTTTCTTGACAGAATTATGTTTTTTTCAGTTTATGTTCTTTTACAAAGTGAAATACAGCTTTCTTTATAAGAAAAATAATTAAATAAAAATACGAACATTCAACCAGAAATGCCAAACATTTATGATCGATTTTTTTTTACAGTAATTACAGATTTGTTATTCATAACAAACACGTCCTTATCAATATATTCAAATTCTAAAAGTTGTTATGAAATAATTGTAATACTTTTGAAGTTAATCACGTTTTTTCTTCCGTAAAGAATTTTTATATGAACGTTTAATGATTCATGATGATTGTTTCTACATTTTTTTTAATTGCAACTATAATTATCGTATAGCATGTAGGTATTTGAAGGGTCATTTGGCAGTTTCTTAATCAGTGAATTCGTGCGTAGCTTATGTTTTATTTAACTACATACATGGTTTAATCAATTTATTATACTATTTTCTTAAACTGTATATTTTAATGCCGGTTTTCGATGACAAATTCTGTTACTTTAATTTTTTCATTTCAGTACTTAAATTATTAGAACCCTTATCCCTCACTACCAATATAGAAAAGGTCAAACAAGACGATTTATTGATCTAGTGTTAAAATCAATGAAAATAATTAGGTACAACGGAAAGCCACGTATCTCTAAAGGTTACTATTATTGAACAATAATACCTACTTATTAATAATGTATGCCAGTAAGTCTCGTTATGACTCATGGCGTGGTAAAGTCATACTGTCTACAATTTTATAAGAACGCGCGGTTTGTTGACTATTGTTAACATGGTTCCCCACAGTAAACAGTAAACACAGTGTTTTGGAAAAAAGTATTTGTATTTCAAAAACAAAAGATGATAGACCGTTGGTCTATATAGAAGAAAATATTGTTTCGATGTTCAGTTCAATCCCTGAATTTGTGATAACTTTTTCCATACACTATGCATATTGTTTTTAATTATTGTCTTTTACTAATTAAACACACACAATAATGATGCGGATAACGTTAACAATTATTTTAAATAATTGCCATTTACTAAATACATTTATCTTTTCTTTCACTGTTTATCTTCTAATAGTTCTAGATTCTAACTTTGTTTTATAATTAGTTATAAAACCTAGTATCTAGATTGCTGAAGATGTCTTAATAAAAACGACAAAATGTCGTATAAACGTAAGAGTGATTTTTCCTGAAATAATCTAAATTAAAAAAAGAAGACAATAATGTTTTACGTCCATATAAGTATCAGTATATGGTTGATAATCCGTTGACAATTTTTGTTTTAATAAATCATTGAATTGTAGAAATTAAAAGATATTGCCATCGAATTAGGAACACCAACAATAAAGGCATTTACATAAAATAGAAAACAGAAAAAATTAAAATAGGCCTGTAGGTTTCAAATTTGGCGCATTTTTTTATGTCAAGACCTACTTAATGTTTAATAAATAAAAAATAGATATTCTAGATTTTTTTAATTAAGCAGATTCTTTCCTTAGAATGTCACATTTCTACACAAAATCTTCTGTACATGTCAAATGTTGGAAAAAAATTAATTGTTTATGCATTTCTTAATTGACATAATAGTGGAGTCAAGATAGATTTTGACTTCACGAGAATTACTGGAAGAGAGAACTTTTTATTTTTCGCTTTTTAAAGTTGTCAGAAACAACATATAAAAAGTTACCAACTGTAGAGTGTACGCTAAATTATTTATTTAACAAAATAGTTGCAAAGGCTGTAGAATTTTTTTTCTAACGTACGAAAAATGAGACGGGCGGTCCCTAAGTATAGCTCTCGAAGATCGCGCGGCCCCGAGCGCGCTACATTAAATTTGTTATAACTTTTGATCTAATTGATCAAATCGACCCCACAAAAATTTAAATGAAAGAAGAGTCACACGGCTTTCAAAATTTTATGTCTTTAAACTTAACATAACATAACTTTAACATATACAAAGTTACGTCATTCTATAATTTTGTACAATAATAATAAAATAGCTGTCATTCTTTTAATTATTAAAATAAATATCTGTAACTTTCACATATTACTCTTCAAATGACGATTGAAACAGTGAGTGATATGGAAAAAATCTTAAAAATTTAATTTGAAAAATATAATATATTCAATATTTTTAAAAAATCACAAATTTGACTTTTTAGGCCATACTTCATAGATCAAAAACTATAGTTGTAAATGTGATATTGTAACTTTATGAGAGCACTTTTTAAAGCTTAAAATCTCTACTTTAAGATGGTGCATTTTATTTTTCTTAAAAAATTGAAATAATAGTTGAAAAACAAAAAATAACAAAAAATAAAAATATTTCATGAAAAACCGTGAAATTTATTGTTAAATAAAGTTTAATAATGTACAAAAAAAATTTTTTTTTTCAATAAACCATCAAAGAATTAAGTTAAGCCCTTAAAAAAAGTAAATCCAGCGAAACATATTTTTTTTATTTATCGTAATAAGTGAAAAATTGTTATAACAGCAAAAAAATAACGTTTTTTGATTAATTGATTTAATATTCATTTTTAAAACGTATATTCTGTAGCCTTGCTTGCGAAGGGGAGTTTTGAAAGTTGTTTTTCTTGTCAGTTTGGGTGACGAAGCTAAGCAGTGAGCACACCAAATATTTTTTTGTTACTTAGTTTTAGGTATTTATTTTAAAAGCGTTTTTCGTTCATAAAAATTGAATAATTATTATTATATATGGTATAAGAATATGATTTTTATGTTTTCGAGTAAGCTGCAGTTATCAGTGTGTTAAAAAGTGTATTATTCACATATTTTGTCCATTTTGAGGTTATACTCTCGTACACTTGTAATTCTTTAATGTAATATTATTACTTAATATTACAAATAATCTTCAGTTTGCATTTAAGGTATTTTCTATAAAACCTCTTTAACCATTTATAATTTTCATTTTTCGAACCTCTATATTACAAATATGAGCGAGTTTGATTTAAAATCGATAATTGTTAAATAAATTGTTTAAAATAGTCGGCCATATTGGATCAGCCATTTTGAATTTTCATTTTTTGACATTATGTTATTGTTTAGCGACGTCAAAAACCCCTATATTACAAATATAAGCGAGTTTGATTTAAAATCGATAATTGTTAAATAAATTGTCAGCCATTTTGAATTTTCATTTTCTAACTTCACATTCTTGTTCAGCGACATCGAAAACACCTACAGTGTAGGAAAGTACCGATGGTCTATCTGAAGTTACGTGAGAGCGATAAAGTAAGCCATAGAAATCTATGCGATAGAGAAGGATGGCTAGAATGAAGGCGTCTCATAGTCACCGCCCGTTTCGCCCTTCCACAAATAAGATCCACTTCTTATTTGTGGAAAGGCGAAATGGGCGGTGACTATTAGACGCCTTCACTATACCCATTCTTGTCTATCACATGGATTTCTATGGCTTACTTTATCGCTCTCACGAAACTTCAGATAGACCATCGGTACTTTCCTACCCTGTATATTGTCAATTTGAAAGAATTCGATTTAAAATTCATTGAATTATTTTAAATGATCTTAAAAAACTATTTATTACTGTTTAAACAATTAAAAAACAATTAGCGTACAAAAATAAGTTTATAACTTTTTTCTAATACTTATCTCCAAGTAATTTCAAAAGGTTTTAAAAAAATCCTTGCTTTCCATAATTAATTCAAAATAATGCGTAATTTTAAGCTATCTTGACTCCACTATAATGTATGTAATATTAAGTTCAAAAGATAAAATAAAATCAACTATGTACTATAGTTCCAATAATTTCTTTTTTAAGGATACCCTGCATATGTTGGTGCACATACTTTTTTGTGCATTAGAACACTGGCAGAATATTTTAAACAAAAAAGTTTACGTCTGTTAGAAAATGCACTATTTTTGAGAAACACGCAATGACTGGCCCAAAATCAACCAGCTTCTGTCCTTAACATACAGTCTGCAAACTAAAATAGATCAATTTAAATCGATTTACCTTGGTACAATTTTGCTTCGTTAAAAATTTACAAATCAAAAAATTAAATTGAAGGGATGTAATTTAATAAGGCAAAATTATATCAAGGTATTGTATATAAATCGTTTGTTTTCATCCTAGTTTCCGGATACACTGTATGTTGAGAAATAGAGGCTGGTTGATTTGGAGACAGTCAAATGATTCTTTGTCTAAAGCGGTGCGTTGAAGATAACCTAACAAGATAACCTTTTTCGTGGTGTACAATGTACAATACGAGATACACTTAATGTAAACAAAATTATTCCATACAATATAACCGGGATAGATAACAGCAGCTACTTCTGGCAAATGTTTAAAACACCCTCAAAATTTCAATGCATCAAATTTTAATGAAATATGTACATTGCTTTTTGAAATAACCTGAAATTTGAAAAAATTATAACAAAATTGAGGGCTTGATTTAAAAAATAAAGGACGATTGTATCACGGTCTATAGAACAAAATCCTCTTATTTTTCTGTTCTATCGCCCTTTAAAATTTTTACACTAATTTCTGCAACTCGCTGTATTTCAGATAGATTTGAAGATTGCTCAATTCTATGTTAATAAAAACTATGACGAATGACTTAACAAAACTTCATCATTTAAGATTGAATCAAAATGCATGTAATTTAAATATAAATTTTTCGTACAAGGTACAAGGTGATTTTGATTAATTTAATTTATTTATTATTTATTAATTTACACTATATTTTGACCCCCACTAACTTTTTTGTATTTAGAGTTAAAAGAAAAATGTGAAATATGAAAGATGCACGATTTTTTATGAAGTTTTCGAAAATGATAGTATAAAAACAAGTGAAGTCCAAACAATATAGCCGCGGATGTTAACTTTGTTAAATTAAATGGAACACCTTGTATATTTTTACATATTTGGAAAGAATGTCATATAGGGTTTGTTAGATCGATCTCACAATAAGTGAGATACTATTGAAAAATGAAAAGAAGGTTTTTTATTAAGAAAATAAGATATCTTGCAATTGTTAGACCACTTTTAGACATTTCTGCCTTTTTTCCAATTACGTAAGGAATTTAAAGTACATCTCAGTAATTAAGCCGTGAGAGGCCGTGACAATGACAGGTAATTTCATGACGACATTGTTATTGTTTGACAGTTTGTATTATTATTATTTGATTAAAATGGGTTACAGTAGTAGTAATATTCGAAAACTTCATAAAAAATTTGTGAAACTTTTGTATTTCACATTTTTTTTAAATTCTAAAAGTAATACAGTTAAGAGGGGGTCAAAATATAGTGAATCACACTGTACAAACATCTCAAAAATTTCTAGTTTCTTTTTCTCCATAATTTGTTCATCTAGTAAATTTTTATTTAAAATTTTTTCATTGGTCACATCTCCCGTATCGACCAACTAATCTTAGTATTTCTAGTTCCTTTTTCTAAGTCAACAGCATTTTTTATCACTTCAAGCGAAATACATTTAATATACCCCTATTTTTCAGACAGTGAAGGCCTTTCTGCCTAAAATGATCCAGAAAAACCACGGCCATATCGTGACAATCGCCTCGATGGCCGGCCACACGGGAGTCAGCAAGCTAGTGGACTACTGCTCCTCCAAATTCGCAGCCGTAGGCTTCGACGAAGCCCTAAGAATAGAATTAGAATCTCAGGGTATTAAAGGTGTAAAGACCACTGTTATTTGCCCTTACTTCATTCAGCAGACTGGAATGTTCGATGACGTCAAATCGAAGTTCCTGCCTACGCTGAAATCGAACGACGTGGCGGACAGGATAGTGGAGGCGATACGGAGGGACGAGGAAATCGTTATGATACCCGGCCATTTTAAGCTTGCCATGATCTTTAAGGCGTAAGTATACTAATTTAATTATTTATTAATGTTATTATTAATTACAACCATTTTTATCTTCTTCTTCCAGGATGGTGCCATGGAGCGTAACATCCGTAGTTTTAAGACAGCTACTCCCTGATGCAGCTCCTCAGCATCAGTCAGAGCCAGTAGTACAAATTAAAGAGAAGCAGGAGGAAGAAGAGAAGATACAGTCATCGGAGAGGCCAAATAGTGCGAAAATGGGCAGCCTCAGTACGTCTGTGAAGCTGAACCAGCGGCTGACAGCTGCCGGCAAAAATCTGTAATCTTAGCCTTTGTTACCTATTTTAGTATCTAATAGATGTTTTCTATAAAACTTTTTAAAACAGTGTGAAGTTTTTTTTGTTTTCCTCTTTAATAACGAATATGAAATCAAGCGAGGAAAAAATTGTTCCGCTGCCACCGATATTTTAACAGTAGTCAATTTTATTTAGCCTCAGTATCAGTTAATGACGAATTTAGTCAGTTTTTTGACCTACAAAATATTTTGTTAGCAGAACTATGCAATAGTCTGGTATGCAGAAGGTTCAGGAGTCTTTGTTGGAAATATGAAATTATGAAAGTTTCTAATTAGTATATAATGCCAGTTTTCCATACAGAAGTGATGGGCATTGATTTCTGGACAGCAGAATTAATAAGAAGAAAAAGAAAGAAGAAGAAAGAAAAAAAAACAAAGAATTGTTGTTTACTTTCGTGCCACATCAAATTTGGGTATGTTTGGACTCTTTGGGATAGGAAGTCAAAACAGTGTGACCTACCTTGTGACCAAAGTATAAAGGCAACGAGAAAGTTAGTAAGAATAGACTTACCTGCAGGCCTACAGGGGCTCGAATCCTTTTGTTATAGCTGCGTTATTAAGTAACTTATGCAGAACTTTGTGAAAGAAAGGCCCTAGAATGGTGGCAAAATGATACTCGAACAAAAGCAGCCAAAAAGATCTTAAAAGAACCGTCGAATTGAACTGAAGTCAAGAGAAATAACAATAGAAGTGTCTCGACACTTTACACTCAGGAATGTAAAGGCCTAGCTAGCATGGGAACTCTGTCTACTCGTTGTCAAAACTATGTAGCTTTTTAAAAAGTTCAAGTATGATCATGATTGTCCACAACATACAAGAATGTATACTGTAGTGGAAAAGAATCTTTCATTCACTTCACATACTTAGGTCTATAGTCTACAACTACATTGGTCATAAATGTTCCAGTAACTACACATTGCCAACTTTTCTAACTGATGATATTGCTCGGTGGACTAATCCCCCCCTACTAGCATAGAATTGTACACGCAATATCTAGTAAATAGTTAAGATCATCAGATCCAACAGACATATAGGTACCGATTTTGAACTTATTAGTTCTCTTAATGTAAGTATCATAACACATTAAAAAATAAGTTCGATACCGGTATATGTCTGATGGGTCTGCTAACAATTGATTCTAATTGCTTTGATGATATAATGTTGTCAGGTCATTAGTCCGCAGAATAGTAGTTGTTTTCCGCAATATCATCAGTTAAAAACCGTCTCCTCTAGTAGAGACACAGGTTGTGCTTTCGTAATACCTGCGAATTAACAGGTTGCTCTCCACCAGTTTGGCTGTATTGAAGGCTTAAGTATTGGGTAGCAGTGGTCATTCATAGATGAATTTATTATATCTCTTTATTATTCTGTTTTATAATCAAGCGACAGAATATAATTAATTTTTCTGAAGGTTAATACAATTATTTCGTTACTTGCCTCCAATATGAAATGCAATTTAAGAATATTTTGTAACATTTACTATAATTCTGGAAAAATCTTCATAAATATTTTTTTTTGTTGTCTAATCAATGAGGTTGTGGCGAAACTGATAACACTTCCTGGAACTGTTTTAAAATATACCAGCAATATTTCACAAGCTTTTAAAGAAACTATTTGAAGATGGTTGTGGAATATGCATAGCAGTCAACCATCAATACACGATCTAAGATTTACTAGAAGTATAAACGGTACACAATAGAACGAATAAAAATAAATAATAAAGTAGATTAGTTAAATTTTACAAAATATTTTTATTCTTTTTATTAGTTGCAGTATTTTAGACGGACAATTATTAATAGAGCTCATTCAGTCAATAATTATTACATAAAATTTTATACAGGGTGTAAAAAGTTTGACTGCCATTACTTCAGCATGAGATAGAGTAATCATAAATGAACAGAAAAGTTGTATATTACAGGGGCGTAAGATTAGCAGTTTTCAAAATACAGCCAGTATTAATATTGGGGAGTTTCATCACAACAACGTGACAACAGCGCTTAACCTAACGCTACACAGCTGGTGCATACCACGTGTGCACGCGGCAGACTTGTCCTACGGAAAAAATGTAAACAACTATTTTTGTGAAACATTTAGTAAATTTCAAGACGAGGCTTTCCAGTTCTTAAATAAATGAAATAAAATGTATCGATTTTGTAGTACGAAGATAGTGTTGTCCTTAAATTGTAGTTTGAATTTTAGTAATTATGAATCTCTTACAACAAGAACTTGATTTTTAATCAAATTATGAATTTGAAAAATATGTAATTAAAGTACCCAAAGATTTAATCATCCAAATAATCATACGTATTAAAAATAACTTAGGTACTTACCAAAAAGCAAAATTCAGTAATTTTTAAACACACGAGTACAAAACAAACTACAACATATGTCTATCGCCATTTTCGATGCACACACGACACCTTCGAATCCAATTTTCGCGCACTCGCTGGAAGACACCTCAAGAAAAGGAAATAGTGGTACGCAAAAAACAGTCAGACACGGTCCAATTCCAGATACCAACTGAATTGCGTAATGCTGCACAGTTTAGTACCTGCTCGATATGAATTTTATCGAATTTTAAATTTATTACAAAGCTAATTATTTTTTAGAATTAAGCACAAAGAAGTACAAGAAAGTGATAAACATTGTATTTTAGGGTATTCTATGCCCGCAGTTATGTCAATCGATTTAATAATTTATTAATTAATCGATCTTTTGTACATCAAGTAGGAGATTTTGATAATTTTTTTCTCGGAAATGGTTTAGTATAGGACCCATGTCATATAAGGTTTTTTGTTTATTTTAATGTATTCTATAGTCTGTTAAAATTAAGGCAGTCAAACTGCTAACACCCTGTATATGTACGATGTATATAAGAAATACCACAGACAAAATAGCTATCGCCACAGACCGCTACTGGAATAGGCCAGAAGTTTTAAATTTCCGAATTGCCGGTAGAGTACACCACCAGCAGAATTTTAGGAATAATCAAATGCAGCGGCCCGCATACTTACGCGTATCCTAGCAACATATAAACAAGACTTTGGTAATGTTGCCAGGCGTACTTACGGATTTATTTTCTACACTTTTTTACCAATATCTGTTTTTTTTGCGTTACTGTATTTACTTCAATGTATGATGTAGGTATTGATAAAAATGTTTTTAAAATAATCAACGAATATCTAGTTTCATATGATATTCTGCAGCGGTGTTACAATTAAGTTATTTAATCATAATTTCGTTAAATAGCTACCTACTATTTTCATTTATTAGTATTGAAATACTGCAGAAAATATATTTCCAAAAACAAAATTCGTAATGATATTTTAAACAGCTTGTAGTATAATATTTTTAATATTTGATGATGACGATAAATTTATTTAATATACAAGGTGGGTTATTAGTACGTCGCGGAATGTAGGTACAGGTTTTTTTTTGTATTTTGACATCCACTTATAGGTTTAATAATTAATTAATAGAAAGAAACTTTAAATACAAATACGACTTTTTCTTTATTTCATTTGACATCAAAATTTGCTGACACAAAATATATATGTTTAAAATAAAAAAATAATAAAATTCTCCTTATGAAAATAACAAACAACGATTTTTATAACTAACCTTTACAACAACATAAGGAGAATACATAGAAACGAAATAACATTAAAATACCTACAATTTTTACAAATCAACATGCAAGTAATTGTGATGATACAGTTGAAAATATGTTTTAATCTACTATTAATTGCTTCAAAAACAAATTCAAAATTATCAAACATTTCGTCCTGTATTTTTCTTTCAATACTTGTAAATTTTCAGGTCTTTAAAAAAAATATGTCTAAAGGACTGACAATGAGATCGGGGCTGTTTTCTGGCCACCTAAGGTTTCTAATAATATTTTTTAGTGTTCGTTGACGGGATTCTTCCTCCAAAATAAATTTGCCAATATTCCTGAAGAACTGTTGCACATTATTATTATTTGAATAATACAGTTAATTATGTTTTATTTTTCGTCATAATAACCCATTGTAATTTTTTAAATTTTTTGAATTAAAATGGTTTATTCTAATAATGATAAATCCCATGCATTTTTAAAAGAAGGTTCGTTTCTGTCGTTTTTGTCTGATTGTGTGCGAGAGAGATAGATTTATAGTGTGCGATAGAGATAGAGTGACTCTCTCCTCATAGAGGGCTTCTCTCTCTCTCTCTCTCTTTGCTATGTTCAGGAGTCTCACTAGCAATTTCAGGAAACCTAGGGAGGGAGCGTCGGGTAGAGAGCGTGGCCTTTTTAGCCTTCGTTATCGATCTATGATGTCACAGTATAAGAAAAAAATCCGGTTTTTGCTCGTAACTCGGAAATGGCTGGAAATATAAACAAATTTCCCCTTGGTTCTGAGTAGAGCACTCGGTGGGTAACGCAGAGAGGGGTGTCACAATATATGAAAGAAAAAAACAGTATTTGCTTGTACTCTAAGTATCAAAAAGTGAAAAACGAGTGAAAAACGTCAAACCCCGCATGTCAAAAAAAATCGGGACCAACGGTGTGTGACGTCATAGGATAAAAAAGTGTGCGTTGAATGGAAAAGGAGCGTTAAATCGAAAAAATAATTGAAAAAATCTCCCCACACCTGTGGTTCTGTATGTCAGTTCTGCGTTGAATGGAAAAGGTTCGAAGTCCGTATATGGAAAATAAATTTCGGAAAGAGGTGTATGAGGTGATATAGTAAAAAAGGTCTTATAATTCGGTTGAATTGAAAAAATAATTAAAAAAATCTCCCCACTCCTCTGGTTCTGATTGTCCGTTCTGCGTTGAATGGAAGAGTCCGAAGTCAGTATGTCGAAAAACAAAAAAGTTAGTCAAAAATTGCAACAGCAGGAGCGAACGCATTATCTTATCTTTGTATTGATTGATGATTTGTTGTTTTTTTTTTTTAAATAAATAAATTTCGTATTCAACTACTCCTTGAGGTTCCAGCAATTTTACATTGTGTTAATTTTTTGGAACACCTTTTGTCACAAATATGAGCACTA